TAAACTCCCTCCAAAGACCGACACGGTGACTCTTCACGTAACGCGTTGTGGGGGGAAGGCCTGCTAGTATGAAAATGTCCTGGACATGCCTCCTATCGGCTTCATGCCTAATCTTACTATCCCGTATGATAGGCTACGGGATATTATGCAACAATACATGCTTCGTTTGACACAGGAGCACTTGTTGCGTTTCTTTTATTGTTCTTAACCCTTTCTCTAGCGCTTCGATTTTGGCAGTAGGAACGGCTATTTCCGCCGTCTTTATTGGATTCGCCTTGTTGATTGGCGTTGTTTTCCCTACTTTGTTAATCTTTTGGCTAACAGCTTTTTTCGGTTTTTTCCCTCCCTTTCGGAGGTCTTAGTTGTAGCTGGTGGCTCCGTTTTACTTGCTTCCTTCAGCACCGCTCCCCTTAATATGCAGGAGCACTCTTCCGCCAAAGAAACGCAGTGACTACATATCCATTTCAGCGCTGGATATTTCCTGTGAAGCAAATAATTTTTCTTGGATAATTTGCAACATTTTTGGTGATACCATGCTTTGCATCTATCAGACTGAATGCCATTCTCAGCCTGTTCCTGGCACTGACTCATGCCACAGTGTTTACCCTTATGTACCATCTTATCAATATGTTAGAATGAACCGAAAAAGGAACAAAAAGACACGCAACCGTAGAGGAAAACCAAAACGGACAACCTATAAAACTTCTAAACAACAAAAACGTTTTTCAATGACTAGTCGAAACCAGTAAGCGTTTAATAATATGAAATATCTCGCAATATTTCACGGGTTAAGCAATACACGGTAAAAATAGGTAATTATGATGTGAAATATCTACAGATATCTCACTTTAGCTTGACCGAACCATTTAAAACTTAGAGCACTTTATCAATTCAAACCGCGCGCTAAGGTACGTACTTTCAGTTCACCTGCATAGATCATTTCACCCGGTGGCCGGTAACTGTGCCTTTGTCTTCCGCATCCAGCGAAGCAGCGGTACAAGCCTTCGTAGAGGGTTGGATAGCTAATTTTGGTTGTCCAGCAGTAGTGACAACCGATCGAGGTTCTAATTTCGAAGGTGTTTTCGCACAACTACTTAAGTACCTAGGCATTCGCCGCGTTCAGATGACCGCTTACCACTCGGTAACCAACGGGATGGCCGAGCGTTTTCACCGACAACTGAAAAGTGCTCTGGCAGCACAAACGAATCCAGAGTGGAAGGAGTCTTTACACTTAGTCCTCTTAGGTTGCAGATCAGCTTTGAAAGCTGATCTGCAGTCCACACCGGTTAAGTTGACTTTCGGTCGAACATTGCGTCTCCCAGGAGAAATGGTGACACCGATTCCACCAACCGACTTCAACTACAGTGACTATGCAGCTCGTTTAGTACATCGCATGAAACAGTTGCATATTCACCCACCTCGCTAACAAACATCCCTAGCCAACCTNACAGCGGCCCACACAACGTACAGTGACGCTTGTAGAAAGCCTACGTAATGGAGCACAACGGTAAACGGGAGACCGTCAGTATTGACCGGCTCAAACCTGCGCATCGGGAGGAAACCGTTCCTTGCACCTGATCCCGACCCACCCCATCGGATCACTAGTCGCGGGAGAGTCCTTAAGTTACCTGTACGTTTCGCATTGTAACACGTTTTTACACTTGACAACGTATAAACACATTTAGTCTGCGATATCGATAATTTTTCTCTCACCTGAGTATTCATAAACGCATACGAAAAACAAAAAAAAGAAAAATCTTTTTGTCATCGTTTTTATCATTTTTTCTTCTACCACGGTTAACGTTTTTTCCTCTATGCATATGTACACAAAAAACCAAAAAGCCTTGCCCTTTTCGTATTGCGTTTGTCTTCGCCTCACCAATCAGCTCCAACAAGGGCTCCTTCGACCTTTTTTCTTCTGTTCTCTTCCAGGTTCAGTATTCAAACTCGGGAGAAAACATCTCGGCCAATAAAACTCAGAGGCCTCAAAACCCGTGAAGAAAACTTCGACCAGGAGAACGCAGCAATAAAGAAGATTGGCACGTTCCCCACTCTTTCCACCGCTCCAGCACAAAATGGGTATTGAAGACCTTTTTCTGACAGCCCCGTCAGTCTTTTACTGGCTCGTGTCCAGCTGCGACGGTCCTCCGATTTCATCTCAAGAGAAACCAAACCGGGGCAAGTCGCGAAACGACCACGGACCTGCAGATCTTTATCCATGACATTCTCATTTCCCCACATTTCTTTGGTGGGCCAGCAATCCCTGACACATCACCTGGAACTGATACCCATACTTTCCTGGCAATGACCGAAACTATCCTTTTGTTTGGGACTTGGAAATCCCACCCAGCAATGCATGCACCTTTATCAAAGGCTCTCTCTAGCCTTCTAGGAGGGGAGCTCTGTAGTGACCATTCACATTCCATTCTCAATGTACCTTCCCTCCTGTGCATCTCATTGTTTTATCGAACCAAGGCCACCTCTTTGGTCAGCACGTGTTTGCTTTCACTTTCTGCAGGCTTGCTCACGCCTCGGTATCTCTCCCTTGCTCTGCAGGTCTTAACAATACACGTCGTCTTCCGTTTCGTGAATTGCCTCGTTCTCGTACGAACTTACGTTTGTGATCTATACGTATAAGCCCGGGGTAACGATAACCTAGCTCTTACAAGGGCGAGGAGAGAGCTGTTCAGGCTCAATTTGGTACTATTGTGTGGGAAACCTGCGTATTCCTACTCGTGTACAAAGCCATAGTTAGGCCGCACTTGGAGTATTATGTGCAGGCTTGGGCACCCTTCCTCAAAAAGGATGCAGCCTGTTTAGAGAAACTGCAAAGACTAGCCACCCGAATAACTGAAGGCCAAAAGAGTAAGTCATACCAAGACAGGTTAAAAGAATTGGGACTCTTTTCGCTAGAAAGAAGAAGACTAAGGGGAGACTTACTGGAGACCTTTAAGATTGTAAAAGGGCTCTCGGGAGTAAGGAACGAGAGCATCTTCCAAGAGGCTATCCACCAAAAAACTAGAGGAAATGGGTATAAACTACATAAGCAGCATTGCAACCTGGTTGTTAAATCCAGCTTCTTCAGCAACACAGAAGTGAACAGTTGGAACCGGTTGCCAAAGGAATCAGTAGATTTAGGAAGCATTACTGCATTTAAGCGCGCCCTGGATGAGCGATGGTTAGAGCTCTTTCCAGAGCAGTATCTTAATTGCATTATGGAACGCCTTCATGACCCATGTCCCTTGTTCGCCGATGAGGTGAAAGGAGACGAGCTTTTTCTTTTCCATTTCAGCAAGGACGCCGTACTGAAGGCAATTCGCACTGGTTGTTGCCTTCTGTGAAGAAACNTGAAGAAACTCGGTGAGTCCAGCGTCCGCGTTAACTTTGGCTTGTGGTTGATATTCTTATCCAGTGCATGCTCTTGTCTCTTTTTTTATCATTATAAATCTCTCATTTTTTCTATCATAATAATCCCAGGCTATATATCTATTAACTATATCCGTTTACCTAAGGCTCTCTAATTCTACTATAATTATAAGAACCTACCATTCGGACACAACAGGTTATATCTTAATGACCATCAGAGCTGTGAGCAGAAAATGCTCTTCAGCCGAAATGGCTAGCCCAAAACCTGAGGACAGGGTATTTCCCTGTGGGAATAGACTGCCTAGCTAGTGTAAGAGAGGGTATCTGATGTGACTTTTGAGATACCTGGTATCACCGAAAGTGCTGTAAACTGACCATTAAGGCCTAACGACTCTATACCGAGCACAAATGCCTCAAAGGGGTCTGTTATGCGTGCGCGAACATTATTACACAGGTAGCCAAAGTAAAGGCCGCTAGACCCGTTACCCCACATAAACCGGATTTTCAGATACTGGCACCACTAAAGCTGAGTGCAGGGAGCTCGCCGCAGAAAAGGACCGGGCCAACCCCAGCCACCGACGAAAAGCTCACAGAGGCACACTGTAGTTCCTTCCTAGATGTCACAGTGATAGAAAGGAAGGACATTCAGCCCACCATCGACCATCGGGATATGAAGAGTCTTAGAGATGACATGACATGTCAACTGAAGGCGATCACCGACTCCCAAGCCAACCAAGCAACTCAACTAGCCAGAGTAGCAAAGTTAGCTGCATCGAACGCCAACAGCATGGAAACCCTCCAGACGAACACCGACATCGCCTTCGGGAGGCATAGGAATGTCATAATCAAAGGCTTAGCCGAGCATTTCTGTCGGGTAGCAAAGCAGAGGGAAGCGCTAATAAGGCACCATGTCACCTCCCTCCTCAGATTATCAGGCACGCCTCCTCATGCAAACATAAAAGGGTACTACGGCTAGGAAAATGGTCACCAAAAGGAAATAATGTAAGGCCTGTGCTTGTCGAGTTCAGTAATCCACGTCATCGTGATTCCTTCCTCGCAGCCTCTGCGCAACTGAGGGCAGAGACCAAAGGGGCAATATCCGTAGAACCAGACAATACTCAAAAGGGTTGATTAGAGAACTTGCTTCCGAATGTAACACCCATGAAGGTACCTTCTCTGCGACTACCTAGGGTTGTATTAAAGGTGACAAAGGAAGCACCCACTGCGGTTGTACCTCTTACTAGCCGGCCCGGGTCACACACCCCAGCCGTCGCGCAGCCGCCCAAACTGAGACGCAAGCCCAGGCTAGAAACGCCTGGCATACCCCGTAAACCCTCCGTTACAAAAAACGCGGGGCGAACTAGGGACTAGAGCCCGAGTGCTACCCCCAAATTCCCATCATTAGTCACAGAACAGGCCTGCGGGTTTTCAGCACAAATGTCTGCAGCCTGGGAAACAAAAGGGGTGAATTAACCTCGGAGTGCATCCACTCTGACTGCATAGCGATAACGGAAACCTGGTTTTGACCGAATAAAGACATCGAGTCGTTAAAACCAAAAGGTTTCACTGTCTTCAGAATCGATAGGTTGAACAATCGCATAGGGGGAGGAGCACTGCTCATGACCAGCGAGCGGCTCCAAACTGAAACAGTCGCTCCTTAAACACACCTAACATCCAGGTCGCGGCCTGAGCGATACACCTCCTCACAAAGAAACTGGCGGTAGGCTGTGTTTATCGCAGTCCTTCAGCATCCCAGGTGGAGGATTAGCAACTATTATCATACCGCAGACAGCTAGGCCCCGGATCAACCAGAGTGTTGATTCTAGGGGACTTTAATGCCCCGGAAGTCCATTGGAATTCCACGTGGGCACCACCATGCAATTTTGGCCACTTACTAGTAAATTTTACCCTTGACTGCGCCCTAGTCCAACACTTCAACCACTCCACGCTTCATCGCAGCGGGCAAAACCCTGGGTTATTGGACCCATTCCTAAGCAAATATCCCAATGATGTGACTGACTTGGGAACCTCTCTACCACTGGGTAGAAGTGACCGTGTAGTACTGCATTGCTGTTTACAGGAAAACGGCCCAAATCCTTACACAAAATGGAGGAGAGCCTTCCACAGAATCAACAGCAACTCGCTCATTGAAAGAGCCTCTGAGCTACACTGGGGGAGCAGCTCAACACTGTAGGAGGGCTTTGAACTTCGGAGTTTGCTCCGCTAAGGAGGATCCGTAGAAATGGCAAACTCCCTTGGTGGTCCAGCAGGGTAGCAAAGGCACAAGCTCGAAAGCGTCAAGCTTGGAGCCAATACCTCAGAACCCGTAGCTACCAAATGTATCTCCAGTACCTCAGGGAGAGAGACAGGGCGATCGATGCCCAGACGGCTTGCCTTAGGGCCTTCGAAGCGGGACTGGCGCGGAGGATTAAAGAGTGCCCCAAGGCATTCTTTAACTACGTACAAGCTAACTCCAAGCTGCGTACGGCTATAGGTGCTCTCAAGGATGAGAGCAACCACCTAGTCCCAGCTAGCTCTGAGAAAGCAAATTTCTTCAGACGCTTCTTTGAAGCAGTTCACGTTAGGGATATCGGGACGCCCGGGGGTCAACAAACTCCGAGGCCCATCCTACGTATGCCAGACTGCGAAATCCTTCCCCAGGAGACTCAGGATCACCTGAGGCGCCTAAATACAGGCAAATCGACAGGATCAGATGGTATCCATCCAGCCATACTAAAAACCCCAGGCAACAGTCCTTGCCAATCCACTGTTTAACCTATCCCTCTGTCACGGTGAACTCCCAGCAGATTGGAAAATAGCAGAGATGGTGCCTATTCACAAGGGAGGGTCCAAGGACACGGTAGGAAATTATAGGCCAGTCAGTTTGCTGCCTATTCCGTT